TTACATTTTGTTCTATATATATGTATACAGGAGCTGTATACGTGTATCTAGAACAAAATATCTATTCACAGAACTATAAATACACGCGAACTTAATGCATAGGTAATACAAAATCATTCGTCCCATATCATGTGAGCTGTAGCAATAATTAATAGAGCGACCGTCATATTTGACCAGCGTCTGAGCGTTATATATTAAATGCTTGCTTATTCTCCAACTGTGGCGAAGAGGGGTCGCGATTATTTCAGTTTCTGACCCAACTTAGTAAACTAACATAGGATTGACAACTACACATTTAAATGGACAAATTAGAGTCGACAATGAAGCGAAATTTGTTACAATATGAATTATTCAACGGGTTGAGAGCTTATAAGAGCGCACTTTACATTGTTATTAAATTATATGAGCTCATTCTATTACAGAGCGATCCAATTTACTGTCAATGTTAAGATGTTAAGTGTTGTCATGAGTTGTATTAACCTTCATATCTTTAGACATATCTTAAGATTTCATATTTCAAAGGTTCACTAAGGTTAGATAAACCCTAGTGCTACTCTTATAATCTTGTTTTTATTTGACAGATATAAGGTAAAATTAGAAATTCCATAATTTTCTTCTTCTCAGAGCACGCTGCTCACTGCTCAGTATGTTTTTCAAACATAAAAGCAATTAGGCAAAAAATTTTTGAGTACTTTTGAAAATATTCTTCTAAATAACCAAATAAATTCATGCAGTTTTTTTGTCGTACATATTTGCTTTTGGGCGATTTGATGATCACTCGATCAAAAATTAGAATTTAATGTTTTTATTGGCGCCATGACTTGCCCGGATAGAGATATGCGTCTTTTAATTATTACATTTTAACTGCCAAATAACAAATATTAAGTGGCATAAAGTCTCAACTAAAAATGCAACAGTCTCTCCTGGTCTAAGTCTTCAAAAATTTTTCCACGCAAATATATTTGATTAAGATTACTTCAAAAAGCTGTATCCTAAAGCTCTATCAGACAAAGTAACGCACAATAATAAAACGTCTTAAATATCACACGTCATCAGGCTCTGAAATTCTATCTATATTCAGTTGGCAACAATGACTGGGCTTTTCTTCGAACAATGATAGTTAGATAACGACTAACCTTTAGTGAGATCGTTCGAATTCTATGATTTGTGGATGTCACGATAAACTTCACTGTTAGTTTGGAAAAAGGAGTCGCGGAGATACGTTAAGAAGTAATAACAAGCTAAAGATCATATAATTTGTTATATTTCCTCTTTTTATATAGGATAGAGGGTTGACATTTTACCATGGTATTCCTTCAATAACGAGTAGCTTATCCTTCGTAAGATCTATTTAATGTTTAGCCTCTTTGTTAGAAATTGTGAGCGAAATAATATTTTTTGCGTGTCGTACTTATTGTAATATTCAACTTTGATAACCACTGCAGTATTTGAAAAATTTGTATACTAAAATAAATACATATATGAAATTTAAAAAACATATGATCATTCAATTAAAATGCCTTGAATTATAAGATGTAGAAACCATAACCCCTCAAAGGACAATAATCAAAGAACATAAATAGTTTTATAATAGCATTCATTTTGCAATATTATTTAAATAAATCTAATATTATAATCTATATCTAAGCGCCAACGTAAAATTTTCAAAAAAATAAAATTTATCAAAACTATAGTTCAAATATCTCCAAAACATTTCAATAAGTTTTCAATCAATAATAATTATCTTACAATTTGTATTGAAAGCTACAGTAAGTACTGCTTTTTCGTGACGTTAATTACATTAGAATGAGCTATTGTATTATTATAATTTATTCAAGTAGTAAGTAAACTTTTTTTTAATTGTTAATGGAAGTTAAATCTATGACCAATATTTTAAATCATAGAGACCTTTGCGTAAAATTGTTTATAAAAATATTACCATATTCTTAATACTAACAAAATTGATTGGATAAATAGAAATAAGTGATCATTTTCATATTTGTTTTCAAGTGACTAACTATTTGGCTACTAGAAAAAGTCGTCGTAAATGTAGTTTAGCTTTAAAATTACTAATAATAAAAGTATCTTTTGTCCGTCTGTTTGATAACATTTATTATTATTTTAGGCAAGCACTTAAGATAAGAGGAGCTTAACTTACATCCGGCATCCTATATGAATTCTGTATTATTACTAAGCTTATTAATAATTATATCCGTTTATTGAATAATTTATCTTCTACCCCTTCTATCCCTAATCCTGTATGAACATTTTCCTTCTCGAATATAAAACGTAACAAGCACAATTTTCTACCAAATGTTATTGAGATTAGCTCAAAGATTTAGGTATGAATCTATAATGTATCGCTTAAAATTATCATGAATAATTTTTCGTTTATTTCCTTTTTTTTAAGATTTAAGAAACAAAGATGAAGTAATACTCTCTTTTATTTAAGCGAATATTTGATATTTTAAATAAAACTATCTTTTCGGATGAATCATTATTATCATGGACCCGGGAGAGACACACCGTCTCTGCCTTGATCATGATTGCTGTAAAGCATTCGAAACGTCGCGAACCAAAAATCAAAATAAATCCGCGAAAACCCCCGAATAGATAGTTTTATTTAAAGACGAAGTAGCAAAAGAATTGAATTTAAGTTTTTTCAAAACATTTTCGAATAGCAATAAAAAACATCCCTGTGTAATAAATTGTTGTGTTAAAACGCTTAAACAGTTTACTTTCGTGTATAGCATACTATAGTATTGTAAAAATATCTAAAGATTAGGGATCATAGTAAACATAACTTTAGCGGACCTAAATCGCTATAAAGTAGTGGCTTCTTATCAACTCTCGGGGGAATCACCGGTCGTCCACATGAATATGTTACAGCGACAAACCTATCACGGAAGATGTTCGGGGCGACCTACTTCGGACAAGATTTTAGTAGGAGATTGTTGTTGTAACATTTTTTTATGCTTTCTTTTGTTATATAATTACCATTATTGTTTATCTATGGATATTCGTTTAAAAGAGGTTAATTAACACGTATTTCATATTAATATTAAAATATCTCAAGCAAGGCTTTGATATTTCTTCGTTATCAAATGTAAAACGTTCCTTTGTTTTTACAAGAATAATTAACATTTGATACATTTTCTTTATAAAATAGAAATCTTTCCTTAAAAACGTTATAAAAATAAAGTTGCTAGATCTAAATATTTGCTGAAGTTTTATTTGAGCGTGTAAAATTAAAAAAAAACCTTTCAAAGGAAAGTTTCTTTCAATCATTTAGATCTGTTGAAAAATTCAGTGAACGCCCAAAATTCGGCCACTAAGTTAGAAGCGTTACGATAAAGAAGGCGAAATCCGTAGAAATGGTTTTATTTCAATCTTCAAAAGGCGATACTCGGTCCTTCTGAATAACCATCGACGGCTTGAATGCGAAATGCTTCGAAGAGTGAGGCGAGAGCGATTGAAGGAAGCCGAGCCCGCGCACTAAATAGGGTTATTTGGCCCTCTCCACTCCGTATATTAGTTTATCACGTCCTCTAGAAAGGGCTAATCCCATTCGAGCGGTAAAGCGATTCTGTCGCCTCAACCGCCCTCAAAAGTGCTTTAAGTTCAATAAAGCTACAAGTATTTCGGGAAAGGTCAACTACGTTCAGTATCGATATTAAGGACATTAATAGACTCGGGCTTTAGAATTTGGATATATCCAAGGATCTCCTGAGCCCATTTGGATATTAACTTTAGTCGTTTCGATGGAAAAATAAGATATGGCCTCTTATAAGGTACATTTTTGGACTTTCTTTAAAGTAATATTCTTTGAAGTAGTCTAAACTTTTATTATACCTAATTATGTTCTTGCTTGGTCCATCAATTATTATTAAGTAAATATTATAAAGTTTTACTTCACTCACGCATTTAAATTAAAGAAGAAAAAATCTTATCTTTCTTACTAAAATTTATTAAAAGATTATAATACTTTAATATAATATAAAAAATATTATATAAATATAATTCATAAAATAAAATTGTTTATTTGTTCATTGTTATTATATATAATATGGAAATACAACAACTTAAAAAAATAGTTACCTTATTACCTAATCTAACTTAATATGATGAAAATTCTCGCTAAAATAAAATGAAATTCAGTTGCTTAAAATTATTATATTATGGTTCGGTTCGCAAATGAACCTATAAAAGTATTAATTTTAGTTACACTCTCGTTATTGTCATATATCTTAGGTTATAGAAGATTCATTTTTAAGTTTTCAGACTTCAAAACTGTTTTTCTTTATCGTCGCAAAAGCCTTGCTAACGATTACAACGTTAATCAAGTAGAGTAGGTTTTCTCGGAGATTCAATGTTTTATTCAGGTTGTTATCTGAGCGCACTCGTCTAATACCTTTAAACCGGCCGTAAAGTTTTACGCGACTTCCAATGGCTTACCCGACGATGTAGCATCTCGTGTTTTTCACTCAATGAATCTATCAATAGCTAAATATTATAAATAATAATAGATTATTATAATTTTTAATTATGTTTTCTTCTTGTTCAAATTTAAGAGTAGTATACTTTTAATATAGAAATGAGCAAACATTACAAGACATACCTCCGTACTGTCAACTAAGTAAGATCGCTCTGCAAAACTTTATGGTCCGATGTTATCTTTATTGTTTCGGTTGTGACGGCCGCTCCGGCGGCTTGGCCCGCGATAAGACAACTCGTAGCTAGTCTCTCAGGATGCTGAATTAAACTACGCCACTGACACTCTGCACAGTCCTTACATAACCACAAATAATAAGTTTTAACTTAATGGGCTAGAGAGATACAGACATTACTGATAAGTTTTTCCAAATACTTTGAAAACTCACAAACTAGTCACAGGAGCGAGAATTCAAGGTCCCGCCAAGTGTATGCGCGGGAGACACTTCGCGCGCGCTTTTCGTTTTCCTCACAGATCACACACTGCGTCACAGATACGATCGCGGGCGATGAGAGATGCCTCACGTGCGTCCAGCGCGGGCGGCCCGGGACACTGCCGCCGCGCTGCACCCCCCGCGACGCGCGCAACCCCCCCTCCTCGCCGCCCGAGCCCCCGCACCGCACCCCCTCACACCCCCGGGCAACCCCCCGGCGCGCGCACCGAACCAACGATCGTCCCCGATCATTTTTACATCTGCACTGTTGTGACATTGAAATTCAATTTTCCGGTGAGCCCCGACCCGAGCTAAGTTCCGGAATCATTTTGTACTAAACCACGGGCCGCGGAAATCGCAGTTTTCGTCAAAATTTGACGAAATTGAAAAGGTATCCGGTCAAATACTATTGATGATGTCACGTTACTTTATCATTTTGCCCAATTCAATACAATTTTGAAGGTAGAAAATTGGTACATTTTTTACCACATCGTCCTCGCTGAAATGATATAAATTATCATTTTTTTTTCAATTTTATTTACGGTATGTATGATATGTTATATTTTAATTTATTGTAAATTAGTATTATTTGTACAAAATGCGCCAACATCGGCGTTGGTGAACGCAGGCGTCACAGTGGCAGAGCGACTGGCTCAGGCCTCTAATCCCGCACCGTTCTGCGGTTGCCTGCCGGCTTCCCTTACAAATGGTTACGCTTCGGAATTTAATTTCGCACATTTCTTTTACGCTATTGGATATTGTAAGGATTTGCGGATTCCATTTATATAAGGCTCTGCTGATACGTATTTTCTTGTCTAAATCTTGGATCTGAATTTAGAACATATTTAGGAAAAGCTCGAGCCGGAATGTGTCTGCCCTAACGCCCATTACGAGGAAGTCGAAGGGCCGAGGGTAATCTAGTTTGCAATTAATGCCCTCACAAGTATTTGCAGTCTTAACAAGTTTTCGTAGGGTTGGCAGCCGCTGGGGCTGGCGGGACACGTTTAATAAATCGACGCCTTTATTTACGCGGGCTGTCACGCTTCACCGTAATTTAGTTAAAGGGAAGAAGATAATTCAATATTTCACTGTTGGTACGGCGCCTGTGGATGTTGTTATTGTTCAAAATTTATAACTTCTTTGGAATTATTGTTCGAATTTAACTCAATTGAAGGGAGTGAAGTAAAATGAAATAAATAAATATCTATCAATCACAAGGGATTAATCTCATCAACGAGGTCTACGTGGATTAGCAAATAAAACCGCTTCATTTGCACAGCGCTGAGACTGATCGTGAGACCCGCGCCGTTTCTCTCCCTACCGTCGTTTCCGCGACCCTTTTCAAGGAAAATACTTTAAAAAACAATCCTACAACAATTGGAACTTTGCACAAGTTTGAGCTCCGAGGAAATCACGCCTTCGCAACTTTTTCTTTTATTGGTCGATTTGTTAGCGGAATATTTTGTGATCCTCTTTGTTCTATTAAGAGCTGATGTTATGACAGTTAATTTTGAGCTCGGCTCAGAAATACAATTGAACACTGTATTTCCATTATAGAAACAAACAAAGTGTGAACTAGAAAAGTCTCTTGCTATTTATTTGCATTGTTCTGCAGTTGTATAATTTTATTCATGTAATAAAAGTTTATTTAAGAAAGAATATAAAAATTGCTTGTGAATGTTCAAAGTTGCTTTCCAATTGAATTCTTAAATGGGGATTCAATGATCAGATCTTTGGTCATAATTTCAATGAAACCCCCAAACTTATATCAAGTATTCAAAATTTCAAGCGCATTAAAACTAAACTCGGTCTCAACTACCATCAACGCTCGCTCAAGAGTCAGACTCCACATAACTCAGCCACCAACAAGCGTCGAAAACTTAACGCATCCTCGTACTTACTTGTTTTGACCTATTTCTATTACAACTAATATAGAGTATATAAAGTAATAATATTTGCTTCAAAAATCAGTTATTATTTGTGCATACTTGTAAAGTAATTGAATCGTAATGGGGTTAAAGCTATGCAATTATTCTTTGAAAGTTATCGTTTGTGTGTTTTAGGGTAATATCTCTACTTTTACATGCTCTACTTGTTAACTGAGCAAAGGATTCGTATCTTTTTTTACTATCCTGAATCAAAAACATTTACGAGTACGAGTAGATCTAAAGATACATCTTAAATTAAGATGTTGAGGAGTGCTATGCTGAGAATAACTTCTTTGAAGTTATTTACAAATTTGGAATCAGCCGTAACGTCGTGTCCTAAATCTAATTTTTTATGAAATACTTTTAGTTACGAAACAATATGATTGATCCGGCCTATGTTAGATATAAATTGCTCGGTATTGTATTTCACAGGGATAAAGTATATACCATATAATTGTGTATGTATAATGTATATACATACGTACGTAATATTTATTCATTGTACGTCACATTCAAACAACATTGGTAACAAAAGTCAAAGTGGTTACAAATTATAATATGGAAAAAATAATAGATTCTAAAAACACATATTATTTGTCTTTAAACTTTGAATCTGAATTTGAGATGAACACTAACTTTATTAGTTTAGGATTAAGGTTACAACAAAGTCTAAAGTTTCAAGACAAAATAACTAACTAAAATGCAAAATTAAACGTTTATATGGAACATAGCCTGTGTATTTATTGTACGTTTATTAATTTTTTAATTTGATACGACTTAAAATTTCATATTTTAAATACATAATGGATTATAGTATAAACAGTTAAACGTATTTTCTTATAAATAAATAAAACAAAATATAAATAACATTGCCCAGACTTTAAAGCTTCTGATGCGAAAAAGCAAATATGTAGTATTTAATTTATTAAAATGTATTCTACTGTTTAAAAGAAATTCTCAAATCAAATTCAATAATACTTTCTTCTTAGGATTTTATTCAATTGGCAAAAGGTAAAATGTAAAGCCGAAATTGTCGATGCTTTGAGCAAACTCTACTGAAATCTTTGAGATTTATTCTCAAAAAGCAAGAAATATTTTGTATTCTCTTTATAAAAATTATATGGGTGTGTCATTTTTAGGAGTACCAATTGGTTGTTTAAATATAGAGTATAGCGACTCCCCCTCGCTTCGCTCGGGTGTGCCCCAAAAATCTATCCCACGGGAACCGTACATTTTTTCTCCAATTATTTCTTCTAATGTAATATTCTTTATGATGAAAGAGGCAAATTTAATAAAATCAAACAAGTGGACACGCACACACACTCAACATACTAAATCATAAATAGAGTAATGAATGGCCGTATCCTTAATATGCTGTTTTTTCCACGTCTGTTTTATTGTTTTTTTTTTTGTAATTTATTTCTTTTATTTAATACATGTACACTTAGTCTACCCATCTATATTGCACCAATAATGAAAATACGAAATTGGCTTATACAAGGACTTTTCTTTTTATGTACTTTCTATCTCAGTATATAGCTGTGGATTTAGTTTGAATAAATAAATAAATAAATAAAAACTTAATAAACTTCATTTACTTAATAAAAACTTTCACATTTATAATATTAGTGAGGAGTAAGATCAAATGTCACACTTTCTGAGATTTACGCAATTATTTACCATTTAAGTAAAACCTACTTTTGAGACATCCAAAGCGTTAGTCTTTCCTGCGACTATATTTGCTGTCAAGCGTTCGTAAGGTTGGCAACAAAGAAGTTTTATTTAAAATGTTTAAATATAGCTTTTAATTTTAACCTGTTACAGAGTTTTAATTAAAACGATCTATGATTGAAACTAAAACAAAGCCAGTAATTTAATAAAACTCAGAGAAAAGAATATTCATGAAAGTTCAATAACTGAACGAGGGCCAGGTACTTAAATATTAGAACTACTACGAGCTCAACGTGAATCGGTTAGTCAAAGTATTTATTTTAGTTTGAAACATTAAATTTGTTAATTTTTCAGTTAAAATTTATGAATTATTCAGACACAAACATAGTATATATGGTAGTGTTATTGAGGGACTATATTATTAAACATAAAACGTAATCTCATAAAGCGACAAACAAACAGAAAGATGCGGTATTTTATTTTATGAATAGATATTACATATATGTTAATAAAATCATATACTATTTATGATGCAATTTAAGTGTGTGTATGTTTGCCACTTCTTCACGCTAAAATGGTTGGACGGATTTCAATAAAATTTAGTATCCTGGAGTAAGACATAGAAGAAGATACATTATCGAAAGCCAAACGTGTCGTCGTCGTATTTAATATTATATATTGTATCGTACGTACTCGTAACTCATCAGTTGTGGTGACACAAAACACAACTCATGAGATCTTTTAATATTTTTTATCCTGATCGAGTAACTTTTCCAATCATCTATCATTGAACATTTTAGTTAATGGGCATTTTAATTGGAGCTATAACGACGATCTGATGGATAAAGTCTATTCTTTATGATGAAAGAGACATTTCTGAAAAAGGTCGTGACCTACGACATCGACGAACGCTATAAAGGCTGCGACCTTTTTAGGACTTGTAAATACAATCTATATATGTACTGAATTCAAAAAATAGCATCCTGTAAGTAGCGCAACTAATAATAAAATTAGATGGATAAGAATAAGTTAATGCAAGGATCTTTTAGGGGAAGAAGGAACTTAATAATAATATGAATTTTATTTGTATTCTTGAATCTTGATTTTTAGTGTTCCGTAGCCAGTAAAAAAACTGAATTTTTATAATTTCTCATGCCCGTGTCTAAAACTACTTTGCACCATTTGTACTCCATGTTTGAAGAAAGTTGATGGAACATGGCAATTACTACTAGTAAAAATGTAGGATTAAATAGATGTTTCAAAAATATTTATTTATTTATTTGTAAAAAGCACACTTACAACATACATATGAAACATTTTCAATTTAATTAATGTAATAATAATATACCTTATATGTATGTCAATTATAAGTGTACATAGCATTTAAATATTCATGAATTAAAAGTACAAAAATTTAAAAATCATAAAAAATATTATTATAGATAAATGTCATAAAACTAAAGAAATTGATAATAATACATAATAATAAGAAGAAAAATTAAAATCATCATTATAAACAAAAAAATAATAATTAGTTATAATATTTAAGATTAACAATCATGCATTTTATAATAATTAAATAACTTATTTCTAAAAATTGATGGAGAGTCATAAAAAATGTCAATGCCAGGAATTGATTTAAGGATATCATTATATTTGTTATACAACCGTACCGAGGGGACTTGCTTACCGATATTAGATCTGACGCAAGGA